GACCCGCTCCCCACGAATAGATGGAGCAGCCCGCAAAAAAAGGGACGCTATGAGGACAGCAGGTGGAGCACAGGACCTAGGGGAGGGGTACTGTTCACATCTAGATGTGTATAAGAGACAGCTCTCTCTCTCTCTCTCTCTCTCTCTCTCTCTCTCTCTCTCTCTCTCTCTCTCTCTCTCCTTTCTCTTGTACTGCTCGTCAATTCATTCCTCTGCTTCGTCTCATCTGGTCACGGTCTTCTTCCATGTCTTGTTCCACTCTGCTCTTGCCTCCCTCTTCTCCTCTTCTTCTTCCTCCTCCTCCTCTGATCCTCCTACCTTCTCTCTCTCTCATTGGGTATGGTATTCTTCCCTGCTTCCTCACTTTGTCTTCCTCCCTCTTCTCGCCCTCTCCCCTCCCCTTCCCCCTCCCCCTCCCCTTCCCTCTTGCGTCCTTCTTTCTCCCATTTCCCTCCTCATCTCCTTGGCGTTGATTGGCTACGTCTCCCGTCCTTTCTCTCCTTTTTTTTTTTTTTGTTTTGCCACCAAGTCATAGAGTAGATACACTCGACCGCACACTTAAGTACCCTGGTCGAGTGTATCTACTCTATGACTTGGTGGCAAGTTCGGTTAAAATGACCCCCTTTAATTTTGTTATAAATGACCCCCTACAAGTTGTCTCAAAATTAGGGCCTCCGTTAACCCTGCGTCGTTTCTGGCCGTCGATCTGCCTGCCCAAGGTGTGTTTGTTTTTTTTTTTTTTTTTTTTTTTTTTTTTTTTTTTTTTTTTTTAAACTTTTTTTTTTTTTTTTTTTTTCCCCCCCCCCCCCCCCCCTGATGTACTACCGATGCTCGGGAATGATCGGGCTACCGGTAGTCCGAGCCTCGGACTTGATAGCTGGGCGAGGCCGACGGCCTCGAGATATCATCATTTGAATTGACCCACCCCAAGTAATTCAGAATTGCAGTGCAGAACTCAGGTCTGTATTTCAGCAGTTCAGTGGTGTACCAACTGAGCTAGACCAGGGGCCAAGCCCCATTTACGCTGATCGTTCTTTCTTGGCCGTTGATCTTCCTAATAGATGGTCGGAAATTGAGAAGTCGGGTACTAAGTGGGACTGGGCCCCGGGGGCCAAGTCCCACTAGCAGCGTTGAGCTACCTCAACGCCTGAGTGGGGACGTTTTTGTGGAGATGTGCAGAAATGGTGTTGAGTTTCCTCAACTGCATGTCTCCTTAGACACGTCCAGATTCAGTCGTTGAGGTAGCTCAACGCTGCTACCTTCTTACCCCGAATACAACGTACGGTCATTATGGCTGCATTTGACGCATCTTCCAGTCTAGATTCAGCTAGAATGACAGTACGTTGTATTCGGGGGAAGAAGGTAGTGGGACTTGGCCCCGGTTGGTCCTTGTGGTGGTTTCAAAAGAAGGAAACCAAAAGATAAAAAAACGGTTGAATGTTTTATGGCAAGACGAATATCCGTCAAATATATATATATTCTTTCTGTAGCGCTCCGTAGTTAAACCCAAGGAACGACCACCATAAGCGGAAATGTGCGTTGCCTTTAAAGACTGACCACGTGGCGTGTGTACGAACCACGAGGGGATTCGGCGATGCTGAGCTGTCCATTTGATTGCGAGGTGCAGTCCTTTTTTTTCTGTTTTTGTTGGTTTCTTTTTTTGGGGAGCGAGGTGCAGTCCTTCCGTTCACCGCTTGGCTTGTTTGTGCGCCGAGTTTGATACATTTTCCGATCGTTCCCGCCCCCTTCCGCCATCCCTTCCGCCCTCCCTTCCTCCATCCCTTCCGCCCTCCCTTTCGCCATCCCTTCCCCTCCCTTCCCCTCCCTTCCGCTCCTTCCGCTCCTTCCCGCCATCCCCTCCGCTCCTTCCCGCCATCGCCTCCGCTCCTTTCCGCCATCCCTGCCGCCATCCGTGCCGCCGTTCTCTCCGCATTGTCCGATTCTCCTTCCGGTCCTCAGTTCGAACTATGTCGCTGTTATCGTTGTCGTCCTCTTCTTCTTTTCCTTTCTTCACCACGTGAATCACTACCAGTAGGGCAATGCGATTTCCCCTACTCTTCTTCTCCCATATAAAAGCAACTC